GGAACTCGTCAGTATTTTCATACATAAATAAAGAATAATTATAGTATAATATAACGTCTAAAATTATTATGCTTCCAAAAAAATTAATGATTCTAATTTTTTTATTACAAACTAAAAAATAAATTTGCAGTAGCCTGCAATATTCATCGCGGCTGCACGCGATAAACGTATACCGGCAAATTGGAAGTATCGGCGGTGTTGCCACCGTCTGCTCTCTCCTCGACTCACGCGGCTTACGCAGTGAATCCAATACTAAATATTAAACTTTACATTAAAATATTTCGCTAAGGGTGACGCTAGGCTTCCTGACTTTTGGATATCATCTTTATTAAGGTTTTAAAAATATCATACTATTTTTGTAACAAATCGCTAAAAGCCTTTTCTGAGTTATGATTGGAAATGTTTCCAAAACTACCGTCAAATGGCGACTAGGCCTTATATGACACGTGTTAAATTCTAAAACTTTGAGGCTTCATATCTCGTAAACCATGACGGTAGGCCTCACCAAACCTCTACCAGTAATGTGTTGCACCATAATAAATATTTGGTATGAATTTCATCAAAATCTTAAGAAAATGAATTTTGGGTAGTAACCTCCTTAATAGATCTGTAGAGGCTTAAGTCTTAATCCGATTTCGTCTAGGGGATTAGACGGATTAGGCATTAAATCATTCATACCGAAGATAAATCTAGTGTCACAAGTCAAGTTACTTAAGGTGAGTTCAACTCGGTTGGAAAGAAGACACTGAAACGAAATCATCTAACGTAAAGGCGAATACATGTATAACTGTATGTTGTAACAGGGAAGATAAATCTGAAAATGGGAAATTTATTTAAGAACAAACTCCCACGATGCAGAGCAAACCGCCGCTCCATTAAACACGTATGATAATACGTGTATTCGCCTTAACGTCAGATGATTTATCCTAGTTGTCTTCTATCGATCGGAGTTGAACTCACCTTAAGTCACGTGTCTTGTTACACTTGATGAGTTTTAAGTGTGAGCGACTATACTCTTAATCTTCTTAATCCCCTAGATGTAATTGGATTAAAACCTAAGCCTGTTTCAAATACTTAAGCTACCAGGAAAATCAAATGACGAAAACGGCGAATAAATTTAACAGACTTTATTTAATAAAAAATCACTACAGTCTTTATTGGGCCGAAAGACTGACGCACGAAAATAGGATTTTACAATTTAATTATGTTCGGTGAGAAAGAGAGAGAGAGAGAGAGAGAGAGAGAGAGAGAGAGTAGATTTGAATTCTACCGCGAACTAACGCACGACACGAATACAAAAAATAGAACGCTATCACGGATAGACAAAATACCGAATGTATTTTGTTTCGCTTAATATGACGAAAGGTGCACCTACCATGCGGTACAATTACGGTGATCAGTCGTAATTGTTGTTGCAAAATTATCAACTGCCTCTGCACCTCGCTTAATCAGTTGCACTGCCTCAATTCGCCTTTGTATGCTGCAAATCTGCTGCTTCTGCACCGCTGCTTGCTGCTGCAATATTACTGTTGCACCCACGCACGTATTTGTTCGGAAAACTAATTATTTTTGCGAATCAAAGTGCAAAACACAAATCGGCGGTAAACTCGCGTAAACAGCTGAGGCGTAACTACTTATTCAAATGATCGCGCGCCCCCTCTCTCTCTCAATAGTTCGAACTAACGCGCGAGAAGCAGAATCGCGAACGGTTCAATTAATTAAATCGACTACCGTTGCAATGTGTTTAACGGATCGGTGGTTAGCTCTGCATCGTGGGAGTTTGTACGTTAATAAATTTCTCATTTTGTAGGATAACCACCCCGTTACAATTGCTATAAAATATGTACGAGAATATTTTACAAGAAATATTTGATAAATTTATATTTATATTAAAAATATATATTTAAATATTCCAGAAATTTTACATGAAATATTTCCGAACGGTTTCTGTCACGAGAATATTTTACAAGAAATATTTGATAAATTTATATTTATATTAAAAATATATATTTAAATATTCCAAAAATATTACAAGAAATATTTCAGAACGGTTTCTGTCATGCTCATTCCTATATTTCAGAAATATATGTTAAAACACTTCAGAAATATTACTTGCATCATTTGAGAAATATTTCAAGCTCTGTAGGAATATAATGATAGAAAGAAAGAAAAGAGAAATACAGAATAAATGAGCAAATAATAGAAAATTTGGAGCAATTTTTTTATTTTGCAAAAAGTTGATATTTGAAAAAACAAAAAATTTTCTGAAAACTCGTCGAAAAAATTCAGGTGTATTCTTGAATTTATTTTAAGTATTTTTCTTCTCTCGGCACTTTTTCCATAAGTTCTGTAACGGTAAACGTCAAATTAGCGCTGACCATTTAGCTTAATTGCTGCCTGTGAGGGCAGCACCTGCCGAATTCGGCACGCGAGCAGACGGAACGCGCGCGAACGAATTTGAACCAGTGAAGCATCGACCATCATAGTGTCCGTCCGCTTACGCTATCGTTTCCATCAATTCACGTGCCCTTGACATCTACACGCTTCGAAAATTAGCAGGAATTAGTGATCCGGGATTGCAGCCGCCAAGGAGCTATCCAGCTACGAGCCAGAGGCCAGAACGAGAGAGAGAGAGTGTGTGAGGTTTCGCCATCGAGGGCGAAACCAGTGTGTACGCGCATTCGCGACTCGCGAACAATAAAAACGACAAACAACTGTTCCGTGCTGTGCGAGGTATTCGTGTTGTTCTCCGATCGCCTGCAATTATAAGGTAAGCTGGCCAGCTTAATTTCGCGATCGCGATTATACGAATAATAATTTGGTTCTAACATTCGATGCGTGAATGTAACGGCTCTAATAACAAAGAGCAGCGAGCGTACCGGCAAAGCGTGTTGTCGACGAGCGAGCGTGCATGTAAACAAACGCGCGGGCCGACCTTTTGTGAATTTTGAGGGATAATAAAAGATCCGATTTACATTACTAACAAGTGTTTTCATTTCACGTAGCTTCCACTCAATTTAGTATAGGTTATCAATGATTATCGGTTGACTGACGCATACTTTCTCGTGCTCTCCCGGAATAGTAGTGAGCATTGACAATTTCGCGTGTCTTTTTAATGTAATCGCGCGAATATAATAATTAAACGGTCTTACCCCGTTACAATTCATATTTTTCGAGAAAAAAAATCATGAATTATTTAAAAAAATTTTGCGATTTGAGGGCCAGTTTGAAAATTCTAAGATAAAAATCAATCTTTGAATTATAGATTTTTAAAATTCAACGATTTATTTCACCGATTAAAAAAGCTTTTCGATCAATTCCCAATGTAAAGGGCTTTGAAAATGAGATTTGAAAAAAAAACGAGAGGGGAAAATTCATGCTATTTTTTTGTTCAAACGTCATTTTTTCATAAATATTAAAAATTTTGAGCAATTTTGAGTTCACCATTGGTAAGGGATTATTTCAAACGTTTAAAATATGAATCTTTCAATTTTTTTTATCATCTACAGAATGAGTTGCGAGGTGCCAAAGACTGGTATATTGTTAGTAGCGTTTTCGACAGAAACGGGTTAATTTCACTACCAGCGCGACAATCTGCGTACGAAGCTATATCGTAAAATAAAAAGCTTCGTTTCAAAACTTTATTACTGAAGAAGTCTTAAGTTAGAATCATACAAAAATTCGTATACATGGATTTTCGCGGTGGTTGATTACAAATCTGAACTAAGATTTTTAAAATTAAAATGGTAGATACTAGATGGTGGACAAAAATTGAATTGCTTTTTGTTGTCATTTATATTTGTCAAATTAAAGGGCATATAAGCCTATGAAGAGTTATGGAAGTACCCAACACAGGATCGTTGAACTAATTAAATAAAGCAATTATACTCGTATTAGCTCATTATTTTGAGTTAATAGAAAAATGGAAAAATTATTTTGCTTATCGATAAAGTCAAATACTTTAGTATATTTTAACAACGAGAATGTTGTTATGTAGCTAAAGCGTTCACAATTCTTGAAATAAATAAAAAAGTTAGGGTGATCTCTGTGAACTAAATGTAATTTTATTGCTGACGTTTCGGAGTCGTAGATTCTCCATTTTCAAGGCCGAAAAAACAAATTTTTATTATTAAAAAAAGAAATTACAAATTTTTCTCTCCTTCTCCAACAAAAATGCAAAAGTTTACGGGCCGTACAAATGAATATCTTCAGTTAATATCTAATATACATAAGATGATTACATAATAATCACAAACCGTAATCGCAAAAATACACTCTGCTTGTCGCAAAAACGATACAAAAATCTTAAAATTGAATACATTAGAGAGTCATGGCATAAAATTACATTTGCATAAAATTATATTTGATACGTCAACAATAAAATTATATTTGGCTCACGGAGATCACTCCAGCTTTTTTTTTTATTTCAAATACTTTCGAATCGGACTAAGCAGCTAATAATTCTTCTTTTATTAAAAATAAAATCAAAAATTATTTCCTGTAAGAAAGTTAATATAAAAATTTTTAAAAAAGCTGTAGAAATAGAGAAAAACAATTATAAAAATTAAGAAAACAATTAGAAAATACAATATCAAATGACGAATTAAAACAACAAAATTAAAACAGGCTTCACTAAGGAATATGAACAATGGATATAATTGTCGGCGTATGTCATATCAACAAAGGCATTTAGTTGATGAAACTCTCTAGAAATGTAAGGAATGGCTGCGCATGGAAATCTAATATAAGATTTCCACTCTTTAATTAGAAAAAGTATTTACAAACACGTATGTGCATTTTCGTAAATTTTTAACCTATTATGCAATTTTGAATAATAATATATATAAAGAGTACTTCGAAATCAAATTATCTTGTGATGCTGAATCAATGTACATTCTGAACACTTATCATTTTACGTAAGTTACTTTTATGAGCTACACAATATTATAGCGTTATAATCTAAATTCAATAATTTTATAAATACTTCTCGAGTACGTTACCATTAGACATCCTGTCAAAACTAATAGAGTCAAAAATATTAACTGCTTCATCTATTGGAACATGAGATCCATCTCCTAATTCCATAATTTCATCATTTACAGTAGTTTTTGGATATTTTAATGAATCAATAAAAAATGGACAAGGTCCTTGAAGGTGTAGTTTTATAGTATCTGCATCTTCCTGTAATCTTTCCGTTTGGCCTGTCTATGAAAAAAATGTTTAATGGGTGAGTATTAAAAATTAATTAAATATTTTACTTAAATCTACGATATAATTGTAAATATAACAATCAAAACTTTTCTTAAAATTTTTTCGATAGAAATATAAAATATTGATTTTAATTTTTACTTTACGAAATGTATATAAACATGGTAATAATGTGAGCTCAAAATCGAAAAAGTCGATTGTTTTATACAATGTAGAGATACGTATTTATATGACGTATTTGTTGATATATTATTTTAAATGATTAATCCAGCTTGAAAGTAACTATGTTATATAAAATATATCGATTGTCGCAGTAGCATTTAGATAAAAAATCAAGTATTTCATAAACGTAAAAGTTATATGTAAAAATATTTGAAAAACAATGTGAAAATCATAATATTACATAGCTAACGAATAATTCGACTTTGTATATACGTATTAAAAAATGCAATATTTAGTATGTGTTTGGAATTATACTAAAATGTAGAAAACAGGTAACAACTTCACTATGTGTCTGTTAATAAACAGAGGAAAAGTAAAAAAACATACCTCTTACTACGAAGGAATATCTGGTTCTTTGCTATAAAATAACTTCTTTACTATCAAATCACTTTGTAGACTGCACATACAGCGACAGGCATTGCGAAATTCGATGTGGCTTTTCATGTATTAATTTCTCACACTCTATATGTACAAGGGGTGTTCAAAAAGCAAGGTGACTTTTCTATTGACGCGGGCTATGTACATTCAAGTTTTTAATTTTTGTTTTTGTGTTGGTATACTCGCCACGATCATATATTCACAGTCTCTATTATACAACACATATTGTTTTTATGGCAGAGGTGTCAGAGGTTAGAAGTGTTTGATGTGCTCGGCGATTTTCTTCTATCAGAAAGAATGGAGCAAAGAGTTTGCATTAAATTTTGTTTGAAAAATGGAATCCAGTACTCTAAAGCTCTTGAAATGTTGATAATTGCATATGGTGAGTCTACTCTGAGTGAGAAAAATCTGTATAAGTAGTATAAGATGTTCCAAGAAAGCCGAGAGAATGTCGAAGACGAACCTCGCCCTGGACGTTCCAGCGCATCAACAACAGATGAAAACGTTGAAGCAGTGAAAGGAATTGTGTTAAAAAATCGTCGAATCACCATCAGAAAAGTTGCGGAAGATATCAGCATATCTTCGGATGGCTCATGCCAAGATATTCTTTCGGATGTTTTGTGCATGAGACGTGTGTCAGCGACATTGCTTAACCTGTTAACCGGGGACATCCCTTTCTAATTACGCAACATATAACGGGCGCGGCCTTTTCCACTAAGACGTGTATGAATGACGTATTACCATAGTAGAAGTAAAATATACGTCCCGCCCGTTCCAAGGCGCAATATAAATATCGAGGACGTATTCATATGTCCTACCCGTACCCGATATTGTTTACTTTTGACGTATTTATACGTCCTGCTCGGTTAACAGGTTAATATTGTTCAAAATAACCGTCACATGACCATCGCTCAGGAGATGTTGAATGAAGTCAATGAAGATCCTGATTTTTTCAAAAGAGTTATAACTGGTGATGAATTGTGGGTATATGGTTGTAATGTCGAAACTAAAGCCTAATCGTCCCAATGGAAGACGCCAGAAGAGCCAACACCCAGAAAAACACGCCAAGTCCGATCAAATATCAAGGTTTTGCTTTTGAACTTTGGAAAACAATTCGAGGATTTTATGTTACGATAATGTACTTGCTCATTCATCGTTACTTGAGAGAGATTTTTTGGCCAAAACCAAAACCAAAGTCATGTCTCAGCTTCCAAGTTCACCTCATTCAGTGATTTTTTTCCCTAAAACTTAATAAACCCATGAAAGGACATCAATTTTCAACAATTGAGGAGATAAAAACTACATCGCTGAAAGAACTCAAGGCTATATCTCAAAATGATTACCAAAAGTGCTTCGATGATTGGAAAAAACGCTGGCATAAATGTATAATATCTAACGGGGATTAATTTGAAGAAGACAACATAAATATCGACCAATAAATAAATATTTTTTGAGAAAACCATAAAGTCACCTTACTTTTTGAACACCCCTCGTATGTGCTGAAATAATTATCACGTCAAGTTGGTAATATTGAAAGTAAAAATGCATTGGAGGCACGGTGATACATAATGAGAAAATAGAGATCAAAATCATTATACAATAAAAAAAATTTTTTACAAAAAACTAATATGGTACCATGTCAATGAATACTGTGTGGAGGTAAAAACTTAGATTTGATCGAACGGATTGTTAAAGAAGATACCATGAGACTTAATTCGGTTAACCTAACAAATTCCCTTCGTGCAATTATCGAATAATCAGAGAATGAAAAGCGACAACAAAGAATTCGTTGGTAATTATTATGAAAAAAAATTTCGGTAAAATAGGGTAAGTGGTTTTGTTGTGGGCACGGTTCGGTTGTGGACACCCCTGCGTTTCTGCTGACAGAAAACAGATGAGCTTTGTCTAAGAAATGTCATTTATGTATTATGGCAGCCTTTTTTTTATGCCAAATATTGAATCGAAGAAACGCGTTTGCTTTGTTTTGTGAGTAATTTAATTTTTCTGTGCTTGAAAAAAAATCACAAAAATTTATTTAAACTTTTTCAATAGTATTAGAAATCTAAGTGAATCATTGAAGGTAAGTGTAATGCATATTTATTCAGTAGGAAGTTACTCCTACTTTGTGATGCAATATCGATTGCAACTTATATGTTAAAACCAAAAATTTCTTTTCACCACTTCTTAAGATACCTGGCAAGTTCAATTGTGGGCACCGAAATTAGTTCTGTTGTGGGCGCCCGTTTTTTTTTTTTTAATGGTGAAATATCGACGTTGATTGAACCTAATTACTAAGTTAACAATATCTAATGAAATATACGTATGTTGATAATTTTTTATGTTCCAATGTATTTTTACATTAAAATATTAATGGTGTTTTCATGTATTTTTCGATTTTTTTAGCCATGTCGCCCAAAGATAAATCGAAAAAATCGTCCGGTATGGATTTTAATGTGCAACTTGTTGCGATTAAACGTTGTTCTGTCGATAAGGTGTCCATAAAATCGACTGCCGCAATGTATGCCATTTCCCGAACCACTCTTCAACGCTACGTGAAGAAAGTGGAAGAACATTTCGAAGACATCGAAACCGTCGAGGATGATGCTTTATTGGATTTTCTTCGAGCATGTAACAAGCACGTGCCATCGAATCAGGTCTTCTCGACAGCCCAGGAGAATGACTTGGTCACATACATTTTGAAATGTTCCGATCACTACTACGGACTTAGCATAAATGAGGTGCGTGAGTTGGCATACCAGTTTGCTGTGAAGCTTGGCGTTGCTTTCCCCAACAGTTGGAACAAGGATGAAAAAGCGGGCATGGAATGGTATAAAAAATTCAGGCGTCGACACCCTCAATTGACTTTGCGCACCCCGGAGCAAACATCGTTGAACCGCGTAAAGGCTTTCTGCACAACTAAGGTGCAGAAGTTTTTCGACCAACTCGGCGCGATGTACGATGAGCATCATTTTCCGGCTACGCACGTCTACAATATGGACGAGTCGGGGTTTTCTACCGTTCCAACGAAAATTGGCCGAGTGATCATCTTGAAGGGCACACGGCGTGTTGGTAAGGTGGAAGCCGCTGAAAGAGGCACCATGATTACTATGGCATTGATAGTCGACGCTAATGGAAACAGTTTGCCGCCGTTTTTCTTGTATCCAAGGAAAAACATGCAAAGCTGCTACGTAGATAATGCCTCTTCGGGTACGGATGCTTTGGCAAACGGCTCTGGATGGATGGATCAGCCGTCATTCGTTCGCTACATGCGGCATTTTATCGCGTTTGCCAAGCCAACGCCAGCTTCTCCTGTTTTGCTGCTCCTGGATAATCACTCCAGCTATCTGTCGGTAGAAGCGCTAGACCTTGCCGTCGAGAATGGCGTGCATATTCTTTCATTTCCACCGCATTGCAGCCACCGGCTTCAGCCTTTGGATGTTTCTGTGTTTGGACCGGTGAAGACTTTTTACAAGTCACAGTGTTCGACTTGGCAAAAGAACAATGCCAATAAGGGCTTGGAAATCCGTCACCTGGCCAGCTTGATCTGCAAAGCGCTTGATCTGGCGTTGACACCAAAGACAATCAAGTCTGGTTTCCGCGCAACAGGCATCATGCCATTCGACCCAGACATTTTCAGTGAAGCTGATTACGTTAAAGACGTCGGACAAACTCCAGAGCCATCTACTTCGACTTCGCGTGCAACGTCAGTGAGCAATTTTTCGATTTTGGATGTCGTCGGTCCATTGCGCGGTGCGACGCCGAAGAAGCCATTGAATCGTGGCCGCAAACCAATGGAGAGCTCGATACTGACTTCTCCGGACGTTCTTTCTGGTTTCAAGAGGAAAGAAGCTGAGCGGAATGCTAAACAAGCAGCCAAAGAAGCGACAGCATCTAAGCGCGCCAAATTAACTCCAGGCAAGCGCACCAATCCAACTTCATCTAAACCACCAGCTAAGCGCGCCAATACAACTTCATCTAAACCACCAGCTAAGCGCGCCAATACAACTTCATCTAAACTACCAGCTAAGCGCGCCAATACAACTCCAGCCAAACCATCGGCTAAGCGCGCTAAGCCAAACGAGTCTCCGCTATCTGACGACGATGTGGACTTCTGCCTGATTTGTTTGAAGCTTTTGCCACGCAAATTGACGGACGCCAACTCCATCAACTGTAGCGAATGCGATCGGCCCGTCCATCTGAAATATGCAGGCATGCGCGCCAAGTATTTCACATGCAAACATTGTGTTTCAAACGAAGAATAATGTCACAAATTTTTAAAATGTTGTTCTAAAATAGTTTGTTCTAAAATGTTAAATAGTTGTTCTAAAATGTTAAATAGTTGTTCTAAATTGCAAAATAGTTGTCTAAAACGTTGTTCTGCAATATTGTTCGAAAAG